CTTTCACTACCCTCCATCAATAAGGAGAACCCACCTTGTTCTGCAGTGTCAGTGAAAGCCAGGTGGGGAAGCAATGATGCATCCCTACCTGCCAGGGTGGTATCAGTGTATCAGCCTATGTCTGGTAGGGAGCCTGAGAAAAAAGAGCAAACAAACAAACAAAAACATGGGACACCTGAGTGGCTCAGTCGGTTGAGCAGCCGACTTTGGCTCGAGTCATCATCTCATGGTTCATGAGTTTGAGCCCTGTGTCAGTCTCTGTGCTAACAGCTAGCTCAGAGCTTGGAGCTTGTCTTCAGATTCTGTGACTCCCTCTCTCTCTGACCCTCCCCTCCCCTATCTCTCTCTCAAAAAAAAAAAAAAAAAAAACCCATCAAAAACAAAATAAACAGTAAAAACAAACAAACAAAAACATGAAAGTAGCCTCAGGGACCTGTGGAAGTGTAATGAAAGAGCTAATATGTGTGTCATTGGACTCCCAGATGAGAAAGGGGGGGAAAAAAGAGAGGGGCTGGAAAACTCTTCAAATAATGACTAAAAATTTTTTTCATTCAGTTAAAGACATAAGCCTATAGATTTAAGAAGCTGAGCAAACACAATATAGGATAGACCCAAACAAATTCATATCAACATGTGTCATAATCAAACTTTTAAAAACTAAAGACAAAACTTAAGGCAATAAGAGACACATGGCATCTATCAATAGGGGATAAACATTTCAATTTTCAGCGATTTCTCATCAGAGACCATAAAAGCCAGAAGGAAGTGACAACATTTTTCAAATGCTGACAGAAAATAACTATAATTATGTAGTTATTTATTCTATAATTCTATACCCAGCAAAAATATCCTTCAGAAATGAAGGGAAAATCAGAACATCCTTAGCTAAAGGAAGCAAGAAATTAACAGCACCTATTCTAAAAAAATGTCTAAAGAGAATTTTCAAGACAGAAAGACATGATAAAAGGAGGAAACTTAGAATACCAGAAAGGAAGAGAACACAATAGAATGAGTAACAGTATGAGGGAATATAACAGATCCCTTCTCTGTTCAACTTTTTTTAAACTAATTTTTTAAAGTTTATTTATTTATTTTGAGAGAGACAAAAAGCAGAGGAGGAACAGAGAGAAGGAGAGAAAGAGTCCAAGGCATGTACAAGAACATTATGTGCATCATGTACATTTATTATTTTACCTCATTATTATTTTTTAAATTTTATTTATTTGATAGAGACAGAGATAACATGAGTGGATAAGGGGAAGAGAGAGAGGGAGAGAGAATCCCAAGCAGGCTCCACGCTGCCAGCACAGAGCCCTTGGCTGGGGTGGGACTCAGGAAACCATGAGATCATGGCTGGAGTCAAAACTAAGTCAGAAGCTTAATCGACTGAGCCACCCAGGACCCCCTCATTTTAACAACTATTAAAAATATTAAAGTATACCTACAGAAAAGCGTACTAATCATAAGTATACAGTTTGATGATTTATCACAAACTGAACACACTCCTGCAAGCCCTATCCAGGTCAAGAAGCAGAAAGTCCTTGGCACCTAAAGCCCACTCTGACTCAATCCAGGCACAGATTCTCTCTTCTCCCCAAAGGTAACCACCATCCTGACATTTTCTTTTTTTAAGCATGAGGGAGGGAGGGGCAGAGCTAGAGGGAAAGAGAGAATCCCAAGGAGACTCTGCGCTGCCAGCACAGAACCCAATGCGGGGCTGAACTCACCAAACCACGAGATCATGACTTGAGCTGAAACCAAGAGTTGGACTTTTAACCAACTGAGCCACCCAGGTGCCCCCTGACTTTTCCATTAAAGATTTGTTTTGTCTGTTTTTGAACTTTGTGAATAAATGGAAACATAAATTATATATTCATTTTCCATTAGATTCTTTTGAAAAAGAGATAGGAAGATGAAGCTACATTGTTGTAAATCCCAGTTGATTTCCATTGCTATATCACATCCCATAATATAAATACAGGAAAACCTTGGATTGCCAATAACATGTTCTGTGAGTGTTCCACAGGACTACTAAACATTTCTAATAAAATTTAACTTGATAAATGAGTGATGTCTTGCAATACAAGTAGTATTGATGCTGAATACCACATGATCACAACTGAGCCAATGGTTCCTCTCTCTCTCTTCTTTCTCTCTCTCTCTTTGAGATTGTGAGTGATCATGTCCTATGCTCTGATGCTTGGTCTCAGGCTGAGGTGTTTGGCAGAACTCAGTGATTTTTTAGAACTTTGGAAAGTGCCCACAACTGGCACTAGTGTATTTTTTGACACTGAAGCACCTGTAGACAGTCCTTTGCTTTTCCATACAAGAGTAAGCTTAGGAATGCTTTGCTTCATTCTAGGTCAGCCTGCCTGCAGATATGGACCATTTCCTCTGCTGCTTTATTGCCAGTTACATTAAATACAGCATATGACAAGAGTTTATTAATACTGTACTGTAGTCAACATCCATGCAAGCATATACAATGGCCCCCAGGCAGGAAAAGGTTGAAAAGAAAGGCAGTAAGAAGAAGGAGATGATTACAGTGGAAGTTAAGAAGAAATCATCAAGGAGTATGAACGAGGTATGCAACTGGCCAAAATCGCAAGATTTTATAGGAAGTCTACATCTGTATCTTGTCTGCAGAGGAGGAGGAGAAAAAGGCGGAGGAATTCCTCACTTCAAATGAGAATTGGGAGATGTGTAGTGTGGACAACAGTGCAAAATTTTGTAGAAAAGCATCACCAAATAAGGCTGTAGCAGTGTGAGCAATGAATCTGTTTGGCGACAATACAGTGTCACATTTTTGTGAAATCCTCAAAAGGAGGCAAAAGCAAGTATCATTGGCTAGGTTCCTTGTTAAAGTTGCACAAAAAGGAAAAGATTTCAATGAGCCAATAGATATTAGTGATTCCATTAGTAATAGTGAAAGTCATAATAACCCTCCTCTCTCTTGTCTCCCTCACACCAGTGAAGGTTTTCAAAAGGAAGCACAGGTTAATTTATTTTTCTTTATATTTTGTATCTTCTTTAGTATTTTGTATTATGTTACGGTATTGTAATACTTTGTATATGAATATTTTTGGGTTGTGGAATGAAACATCTGAGTTTTCATTATTTTTTATGAGGAAATTCTTTTTGATATACAATTGCTTTCGATTGCAAGCATGTTTTTGAAACAAATTATGCTCATAAACCAAGGTTTTACTGTATACCACTGTTTACTTATCTATTCTACTCTTGACAGGTACTTGCAAATGACTTGCTTAGGCTATCATGAACATTGCTGATAAGAACATGCATGTGCATTCTTTTGAGGTTCACGTGCCTTTTAGATACACACCTAGGAGTAAAGCTGCTGGATTGTAATATGTGTATATATCCAATTTTAGGAAATGATGACAAACATTTTCAATGTGGCTGTAATGATACTCTTCAGGAGTGTGTGAGTTCTGATTGTCCTGCGTGATCGCTGCTTAGTACTAGCAGCCTTCCTAATGATTAATGAAGTTGAGCACCTTTTCATACGCTTTTTGAACTGCTATGGTATTCTGTAAAGCATCTGGTTAAGTGCCTTGCTAATTTTTTTTAAATTGGGTTGTCAGATTTTATTTGCAGGAGTTCTTTATATGTGTTGGATATTAGCCCGTTGTCAGTTTCAGGTATTGCAGATATTTTCTTCTGCTCTATGGCTTGCCTTTTTTGCTCTCTTCATGGTGTTTATTGAGAAATAGAACTTCTTTATTATTATTTACTCTGATAATTTAATGTTTTCCTTTAGGCATAATGCTTTATTTTTTTAAAGTTTTATTTATTTTGAGATAGAGAGAGAGTGCAAGTGGGGGAAGTGTGGAGAGAGAGGGAGAGACTGATACCAAGTAGTGTCTGCAGTGTCAGCACAGAGCCTGATGTGGGGCTTGAACTCACAAACCATGAGATCATGACCTGAGTCAAAGTCAGATGCCTTAACCAACTGTGCCACCCAGGAGCCCCATAATGCTTTATGTTTTAAGAACCCTTTGCTTATCTTAAGGTCATAAAGATGAATGTTCTCTTATGTTTCTCTATGGAAGTTTTTTCACATTAAGACCTACAAAAACACCTAGTATTTATTTTGTACATGGTGTTAGGTAAGGATTAAGTTTAAATTTTTATCCTTAAAGACAGCCAACTGTGCATATATGCATGAGTTTGTTCCTGACCTTTAGAATTTTATTATTCTATTTCTCTATCTTCATACCAATTTCACGCTCTCTTACTACCTTTTTGTAATAAGACCTGGTATTTAGTAAAATGAGTTCTCTTGCTTTGTTCTTTTAACTGTTGTCTTGGCCAATCTCATTCTTTCAAATGTATTGACATAAAGTTGCTCATAACAGTCTCCTGTCTGTTGAATGTCTAACTTGCTCTACAGTCACAGCAAAAATGTAGTCAAGAAAGTTCTTTTAGGATCAGTCCCCTTTCTTAACACTTCAACATTGCCTTGTGCCACAGGACCCAGATGCCACGACTCAGGTTTGACTCCAGCCCACAGCCGTCTGTCTGTTCACACTGTGTACAGCCAAGAGGCTCACCCCCATCAGGCCTGACCCGTTTCCTCTTGTCTGACATCTGATACCCCAAAACCAGCAGCCCTAATGTCGTAACTTGGCTCTACCCTTCTCCCAGTTCCTTCTGATTCCCGGAAGGGCATTTCCCTCCTGTAAGTCATCACTGTTACGATAACATTGGTGGCACAGTGGACTGCATTTTTATAAAGTCATCTGGCAGTGTGTGAGCCTTTGTTTCTGGTAGGAAGAGAGGTGACCTTTAAAATTGACCACAAAAACCATAGAGGATATTACAGAAATGCGCATCTCCCTTTTCGAAGGTAGCTTAGGGCTTCCAGCGGTATCAGAGATCACTGAAGTTGGGATATCAAGTTTACCTTCCATATTTAAATAAGAAAAAAAAGAACGGGAGGCTAGAGCAGCCAATAAACATGTTTTTACCTTAAGCAAGAAGATAATGTGGTACAGAGACAAGACTAAAATAATTCAAGGGAAAAAAACAAGTCTGTTAACCAGAAACGTAAAACATGATGTCTCAATATCTCAATAGGATTTTTCTTCCACCAATAATAATAACAATAATAATAATATATTAATAATAATGAACAGTTACATCCTAAAATGAGTGGAGGCATTTGAGATTTATAATATAACATTGTACATGCGACGCCTATGTCATTGTACTCATAAAAGCAAATAACAGGCAGAGAAAACTTGACATAGGTTTTTCCGTTGTCCTACTGATTTCTCAAGAAGACATCTTGACGGGGAAAGAATTCTGGTGGGTTTTGGGGTTTTGTTTTTGTTTAACCTGAAGGTTTTTAAAACATCTTTTTATTAAAAAACAAACAACGTGGACCCCCTGCTGGGCCGCGCCCCTTCCGCTCCAGCAGCAGCAGCCCACATGAGGGGGGCCCGGGTGGATGCTTTACCAGCCCCCACAGCCGTAGCTCCCACTTGGCTTTGTAATACAGGCCCTAAGCAAACAGGATAAAAGTGCAAAATGTGGCCCCCAAAATATGAGAGATTGGTGCGTGTGTGTGTGTGGAGGGGTGTTTCCGTGTTCTGCTCAGTCTCTTCCTCTACAAGGCTCTGTGCTCAGGGCTCAGATGTGCCCCTAAGGGGGCCGCCAGCAGGCTCCTGACCTGCCAGCCCCTTATTGGTATCTGTATTCCCCGAGTGGTCTGTAGCCCCAGGAGCTGCCATTGACTCTAACATTTGTCCTTGGACATTTCTCAGGGGGTATTTTCCAGCCTTTTGTTTCGTTCTGTCTTTTGTGCAGTCTGATTGGGTTGGGTAGCAGAGATGAGAGTATGACATCCTTTTTCTGTTTCTAAGCTTTCAGTTAGGTCAACCCCTCACAGGCATGTCGTGCCCCAAAGGCTCAGGTTTTCTGAGAAATAATGGCTCCATGAGCAGCCTGCCCTGGGGGCTGGGTCTTACTCCCTAGGACAAGCCCTCAGAGGGATCTTACTGCTGGCTGGGCAGCTCCGACAGCCTGAAGGAGGGGCTCATAGCAGAGTGAAAGGCTGGTGAAAGACAAGAAGGAATTTTGGGCCCAGGCTCCCTCCCCTTAGCCAGAGGATCTAGGGGTAGAGAATTTGGGGGAATTTGAGAATCACCCCTGGGTAGCTAACAGTTACCCAATATCATGGAAACAGCATTCTGGATTTTTGCATTTCTGGGTATCTCCAGACACATTTAAACTAAATTTTTTAAGATTGTGCCTTTTGTTCGGGTCCACTCAGTGCGAAGTTTAGCCAGGTTTCTGTCTCCCAAACAGAGTTGGAATCATACTGGAAAACAGGGTCAGGGAATAGTCACATCGCAGTTGACAGACATTTTCACTTCTGTTGTTATCTCATTTGATCCTTACTCCCAACTCTGTGAGGCAGGCGAGGCAAATATTTTAATTCCCATTGGACACCAAGGCTTGGAAGGTTTAAAAAACTGCCCACAGCAGAAAGTGGCCAGTGAGCCCTGGAAGCCTGGTTGCCTTGTTTGGCCCTTCTGCCACTACTGCATTGTGTCCTCTAGATCATTTGGGGGTGGGGGTAGGGGATGAGCTGCTGTCTGTGGCTGCACACACCTGAAAAAATGGGCTTCCCTAGCACCTCTCAGGTCATCCTGAGAGTGAGCAAGGTGGCAAGGTGGAAAGTCCTATGGGAAGTAAGTGAGCTCCTGGGAAAACCACATGTCTCACATATATGAATGAACACAACTTAACTGAAACAGTTCTCTGGAGAAATGCTTGAAATCTTTGACCAGTCTGAGTCCTAACTGCAGTAAAATCCATAGGGATTCTATATTTAGCATTTTAACAGAAGTTAACATTTTGTTAAATACATCTTGGGGGAGAGGAAGGTAGTGTTTGAAAGGAGGGAAGGGCAGAATTTGGGGTCCTTGTGGCTCCTTCCTGTAGGTCAGAGCTGTGGAGGAGGAAGCAACTTTGGCTTCCAACAGCCCTCATAGGACATCATGCCCCAGGAGCTGTGTGGGCCTCAAGCTAACGGCCATGTTGACCGTTGGGAATGAGGTGCCTGTTGGCCCCAAGGCCATTCTTCAAACAGTCTCTCTCTTTGTCTTTGGTGGCTTCTTCCTCCTCCTCCTCTTCCTCGTCCTCTTCATACCCATCCTCATTATCACTCCGCACATCCTTGGTGTCCTAGAGAAAGAAAGGAATGGGATGTGGGTGACAACCTTCAAGAAAGAGACTTGACTGAATAAGAAAACCCAAATCCCAAATCCAGAAAAAAAATGCAAAGTTCAAAAACCAAAAGTTCAAGGTAGAACATATCATGGGTCACAAAATAAATCTCAAAAAACTTGAAGAATTGAAATTATGTAAGTATATTTCAGTCTATAATGGAATTAATCTAGAAATCAATACAAAAAATAGGAAAATCTCAAAACAGTTGAAATTTAAACAATACACACTTGACAATGGATCAAAGAGTAAGTTACAATAGATATTAGAAAATATTTAGTATTGCTTTTCCCGTCTGCGCTCGCGGAGAAGCAGGGCTTTCGGAGAGATATCCCACCTCTAACTGTGGGGCTTTCCTTGGACTGGTGGCCTCGGTCTGGCACTGGACAGTGGAAGTTCCCTCCAGGTTAGGTGGTACCCCAGGGACGCGGTCGGCATCAGGAGGAACCAGTTCCCTGCCCTGAAGTGCCTTGGCTTGTGGGATTGCAAGTTGGGTGGCATCATTAAGAACGCACGGAGTGAGGGCGTGAGGCACGGGAGACGGCCCGCCTCCTCTGCGCCTGTGGCACAGGCTACTTCAAGGAACAAACCTAAAGTGCACATCGTGGAGAATTCAAAACATCACTACGAGTAGAGAAATAAAACCAAAGTCACAAGAGAGACCAAGGGACACCCTTCAAAGAAGACTTCCTGAACGGCCAGGCCCTGGACAGTGTATGAGCCTCCTTTAATATTAATATAGCAGCACTCACACGGGCAGAACACATCACAAGCTTTTAAAACTAACGAGAAAGAAAGCTAGCCAAAATGACAAAACAGAAGAACTCTCCTCTAAAGAAATTCGAGGGAGAAATAACAGCTAGAGAACTGCTCAAAACCGATCTAAGCAACATAACTGAACAAGAATTTAGAATAATACTCATAAAATTACTCATTGGGCTTCAAAAGGGCTTGGATGACATCCGAGCCATTATTGTTGCAAATACTGATGAACTAAAAAATGCAACACAAAATAAAATGGAGGCATTGGCTACTGCACGGATTGAAAAGGCAGAAAAAATACGTGAATTAGAAGATACAATTATAGAGAAAGAGGAAGCCGAGAAAAAGAGATAGAAATTGGTCCAGGAACATGAAAGGAGAGTTCGAAAGCTGAGTGATACAATCAAACGGAAGAATATCCATATCATAGGAATTCCAGAAGGAGAGATAGAGAAAGGAGCAGAAGGTGTACTTGAACAAATAATACCTGAGAACTTCCCCAACCTGGGAAAGGAAACAGATATTGAAATCCAAGAGGCACAGAGAACTCCCCACAGACGTAAACTGAATCGATCTGCACGACATACAGTGAAACTGGCAAAATACAAGAACAAAGAGAGAATTCTGAAAGCAGTTAGGGATAAAAGGGCCCCAACATACAAAGGGAGACATATCAGGGTAGTAGCAGACCTATCTACTGACACTTGGAAGGCCAGAAAGGAATGGCAGGAAATCTTCAGTGTGATGAACAGGAAAAATATACAGCCAAGAAGCCTTTATCCAGCAAGCCTATCATTCCGAATTGAAGGAGAGATCAAGGTTTATCCCAACAAAAAATGGAGGAATTCATCATCACTAAACCAGCCCTACAAGAGATCCTATGAGGGAAATGTTGCAAGGAACACAAAGTCCCAGAGACACCACTACAAGCATGAATCTAACAGAGAACACAATAACTCTAAACCTGTATTTTTCAATAATAACACTGAATGTAAATGGACTAAATGCTCCAATCAAAAGACAGAGTAGCAGAATGGATTAAAAAGATTAGATCCATCTATTTGCTGTTTACAAGAGACCCATTTTAGACCTGAGGACACATTCAGATTGAAAGTGAGGAGATGGGAAAACATCTATCATGCTACTGGACATCAAAAAGAAAGCTGGAGTAGCCATATTTATATCAGACAAACTGGACTTTATTTTTTATTTTAAAGGCAAAGAAGGGCATTATATAATAATTTCAGGGTCTATCCATCAGGAAGAGCTAACAAGTATAAATGTCTATGCACTGAATTCAGAAACACCCAAATACATAAGACAATCACAAACATCGATAAGAATGTGCTAATAGCCAAATATGGAAAGAGCTTAAGTGTCCAACTGATGAATGGATCAAGAAAATGCAGTTTATATATACAATGGAATACTACATGGCAATGAAAAAGAATGAAATCTGCCATTTGTAGCAACATGGATGGAACTCAAGGGTATTATCCTAAGTGAAATATGTCAGGCAGAGAAAGATACCATGTTTTCACTCATGTGGAACTGGAGAAACTTAACAGGACCATAGGGGAGGGGAAGGGGGAAAAACAGTTGGGGGAGAGGGAGGGAGGCAAACTATGAGAGACTTTTGAATACTGAGAACAAACTGAGGACTGATGGGGGGGAGGGGAAGGGGGCTGTTGGCATGGGGAAGGGCACTTGTTGGGATGAGCACTGGGTGTTATATGGAAACCAACTTGACAATAAACTATATTAAAAAAAAAAAAAAAAAAGAAAATATTTAGTATTAAAATGAAACTATGGCATTTCAAAATTTGTCAACTGTAGCTAAAATAGTACTTATCAGGAAATTTATATAATTAAATGTTTATATTAGAAAAGAAGACAAGCCTCAAATAATTTGCACTTCTACTTTAAGAAATGAGAAAAAAGAAGACAGAATAAGCCAATGCAAGCAAAAGAAAGGAAATAATAAAGAAATCAATGAAACTGAAAACAGAAAAAACAATAGATAAAAGCAATAAACCAAAAGCTGGTTCTTTGACAAGATCCATAAAATTGATAAACCACTAGCAAAATTGACAAAGAAAAAGAGAGGGAAGGCACAATTTGTCAGAAAATAAAAAGAGGATTCAACTATGGATACTACAGATATCATGAAAATAACAGAATACAATAAGTAATATTATGTATATATATTTGACAACTTAGATGAAATGGACTAATTCCTCAAAAGCCACAAGCTACCAAAATTCACCCAAGATGGCAGAGGTAAACTAAAAGTCATATAACTATAAAACAAATTAAGTCAGTTACAGATCTTCTGGAAAAGAATATCATCAGGCCCAGAAGTTTTCACTGGCAAATTCTATGAAATATATCAAGAAGAAATAACAGCAAAGTTCCACAATCTCTTCCATTAAATAGGAAAGGGAATACTTCCTAATTTATTTTATGAGGCTGTAAGTACCCATGGCCAGAAAAAGACAGTATTAAAAAAAAAAACAACAACTTCAGACCAATATCTCTAATGAGTACACACATAAAATACCTCAACGCAATAGTCCAAATCAAAACCAGCAATGTGTGAAAATAATAATACATCACAATGAAGTGGGACTAGTCCTAGTAATGCAAGGCTCTTTCAATATTTAAAAATCAATGAATGTAAAGGAAAAAAAAAGAAATCAATGAATGTAATCCAACCTATCAATAATCTAAAGAAAGAAGAAATATATAATCATATCGGTTGATGGAGAAAAGTCATATGACAAAATTCTCATGATCACACACACACACAAAATCAGCAAATAAGGAATAGAAGCTAACATCATACTTAATGAAGAATGACTGAATGCTTTCCTCCTAAGATTACGAACAAGGCAGGAATATCTACTTTCACCACTCCTATACAACATTGTATTGGAAGTCCTAGTCAATGTAATAAGGTAAGAAAAAGAAACAAAAATCAAACAGATTGGAAAGAAAGAAGTAAAAGTGTCCCTATTTGAAGATGACATGATTATCTATGTCATCATTAGAAAATCCCAAAGAATCTACTGAAAGCTCCTAAAATTCATTGCAGGATACAGGTTAACACACAAAATCACTCACTCACACACACACACAGACACACACACACTGATTTCTATATACTTTTTAATGTTTATTTTATTGTTTGAAAGAGAGGCAAAATGGGGCGCCTGGGTGGCTTAGTTGGTTAAGCGTCTGACTTTCGCTTAGGTCATGATCTCGCGGTTCGTGGGTTCGAGCCCCGCGTCGGGCTCTGTGCTGACTGCCAGCTCAGAGCCTGGAGCCTGTTTCAGTCTGTGACTCCCTCTCTCTCTGACCCTCCCCTGATCACGCTGTCTCTCTCTCTCTCTCCCTCTCTCCTAGAAATAAATAAAAAAAATTAAAAAAAAATCAATATGAAAGAGAGGCAAAGTATGAGCAGGGGAGGGGCAGAGAGTGAGTGCAAAGCATGAGCAGGGGAGGGGCAGTGCTGAGCTGTCAGCACAGAGCCCAATGTGGGGCTCAAACTCACAACTGCGAGACCATGACCTGAGCTGAAGTCGGACGCTTAACTGACTGAGCCACCCAGGTGCCCCTCATTTCTAAACACTAATGTAGTAGGCTGAAAAATGTCCTCAAATATATTAGGTCCTAAACCTAAAAACCTGTGACTGTTACCTAACAAGGTAAAATTTTTGCACATTTGATTAAGGATTTTGAGAAGGTTATCCTGAATAATCCAGGTATGCCCTAAGGCCATCCCAAGTGTATAAGAGAGGCAAAGGGGATTCAACACAGAGAAGAGGCAATGTGAAGATGGAGGTAGAGACTGGAGTGATGTGGTTACAAGAAAGGAATACTGGCAGCCACCAGAAGTTGGAAGAGACAAAAAACAGATTCTCCTACAGCTTCTGGAGGGAACACAGCCCTGCCACACCTTGATTTCAGCTCAAAACTGATTATAGATTTCTGGCCTCCGAAACTGTGAGAGAATAAATTTGTTGTTTTCAGCCATCAAGTTGTGGTATTTTGTTACAGCAGCGACATGAAACTTACATGACTAGCAATGTCTGGCTAAAAACTGAAATTTAAAAATCTGTAACATTTATAAAAGTTTACAAAAAATAAAATACTTAGGTATAAATCTAACAAAACATATATAGGATCTGTATGTA